ATAATGTTATAGCATACATATATGGTACTACAATCATATATAAGTGCAGAATATATATATATATAACATGAATGCACGGTACAATTAGAGGAGCTGAAGGGGATGGCGGGTGGGAATGCACAACAATCTCCTTCAATGAATCAGAAAACTATGCTGTGGGGGCTCGAAAATCCCTAACAGGGCATTCACAAGGCGGACGCTGATTGGTTGATCAGCAGCATCCCTCTTATCTCATTAACATATACATGCTAATTGGCAGTTACATATATACACATACACAACAAACATTACATAAAACAGAAACATAGGCAGCAAGGAAAACTTGTTGTATATAAACTATAATTTAATATTCAAATATCAAATTATCATTTTATATACAACGAAACACGCAAGAACAGTTTAACCTGTTTATTACACTACAGTTATAATACATACAAGCTACAAGTTTGGCGTATCAGGGGCTACTCACTCTATACCAAAACAACTAAACTTACTAATTGAATATTTTCAAATTTTAAAGAATCTGGACTCTGAGGTGTCTCAGAGTAGCTAGCTACATGACCGAGCAAGACTCCAAAGATACAGAGAAGCAACTAGACCCTGGACGATTCCAGAGAAGCTACTAGACTCTGCGAGCGACCCTGGAGAAGCTGCATGAGAAATATAATATTCCACGACTAGCTAGACCCTCAACGATATGAGAGAAGCCGAATATGTTAGCTAGACCCTCAACGATATGAGAGAAGCTGAAACATACTGTCGTAAAATACTATACTATTATTATGAGATTGGGGGTATAATTCCCCAAGAATTAAATGCCATTAAATGCCAATATTATTATGAGATTGGGGGTATAATTCCCCAAGAATTAAATGCAGAATTAAATGCCAAAGAATTAAATGCCTGATTCCAAAATAACCTGAGAGTGNCCTAATAAAGAACTGGAAATCATAATTATCTGCCGCAGGCAAAACAAAAACGAAATAACAATGCTGTTCTAAGATCGAGAGGACATCTTCTGCTGCGCTCGACGGATAGTAGCAGGATCTATACGAATGTAACGTATGAAACAATCAGATGACCACCTACCAAGGGTCTGTATAACGTGATCTTCTACCCCCGCTGCAGCGGCTGAGGTACTGGCTCCGATACGAAAAGAGTGACCATTAAAAGGCTGATTATCAATGCCAATCCGAGACAATGTCTCCTTAAGATAAGCTATAAACGTATGACGCATAAGAGGTTTAGCAAGGTGAACCTGTTCTACAAACAGAGGAGATGTAGGAATAGCACCTGACGATACCCTAAGATTTAAGTATGTACTCATAGTAGACACGGGTTTTAAGACACTATTTTCATAAATATTAATATCCACTCCTCTGCCGAATGGGTCCGTCTTAGACGACCTCAAGGTGAGAGTATAGCAGGACAGATCTGGTAACACGCAAATATCACAAATACGAATGAAATTAGTATCACATATTGATTTGCATGTAAACTCACCACATCTTAAAAAACCATAGAAAGCAGTTTTGAAAATACATGATAACATGAGATCTAAGAAAGGGTTAAACATACCATGCTGTGTAATAGCAGCGCACATTTTAGTTAATAATGTACATGTTATAGGAAGACGTTTGAAAGAGGTATTCACCTGCGTCTTCTTAATAGCACGCAAAATGTACGACAGTCTAAGGGTGTTGGCAGTAGGGTCACCCAATTTCCTTTTAATGTAATGAAACCTGATACCAGCCAGGTACAATTTAATGGTGTCGAATTTGAGATGCAAAGCCTTCTGACAGTGTGTAACAAAGTTAATAAGCACGTCTTCATTGATTGGAGGCAAACAGTTCACTGGAAAACCGAGTCCCTGCATAAGCACAAAGGTCAGAAAACAGTTCAATCCTGACTGGTAAGTAGCTTGAGTTCTCTTACTTAATGCAGAGTCCCACAATAAGTTGACTTCCTCGCTTAGCTCATCATGAGGGATGCCATGGGTAGACACGGAACAGGATAAATGTCTGCTAGAGGAGCCAGTCTCCGGAACCGTTCCATCTGTGAACGAGAGATAGCGTCAGCTATATTATTATCTGACCCAGGTATATGCTGAGCATGCAAGATGAAATTGTTTATAGCTGAATAATAGGTAAGAGTTCGAACTAGTCTCATAATGCTCTTAACCTTTGACCTCCCTTTGGTAATAATTTCCACAGTGGCCATGTTATCGCAATGGAAAAGAATACGTTTTTTGCTCCACTGGTGGCCCCATAACACACATGCCATAACAATTGGGTATAACTCAAACAAAGCCATGGAAGGTTCAACACGTTTTAGTTCGTCAGGAAACACACCCTTGAACCATTGATTGTGGTATATCCCACCGAAAGCTTCATTCGTAGAATCGGTGAACAGATGGAGGTCTGCAGAACTGGTCACATGATCGTCGAGGAAAAAGGAAACTCCATTCCAGTTCCTTAGAAAGAGCGCCCACATGTTAAGGTCGGAACGACACTCCTCAGTGAGTTTAACATGAAAATGAAGCTTGCGCACAGTAGTCGAAAGCGATATAAGGTGCGATACAAAAGACCTTCCTGGCTTAACACACCTTGTTGCAAAATTCATATGTCCTAGTAAACTAAGTAACTCACGCTTAGTGCATGATTTCTTGCAAGCAAATGACTCTAACACATTGATGATGCGGGTTACTTTCGCTGCTGGTAGTCTGGATTCCATACGACTGGAGTCCAAAAACACTCCTAAATATTCCAGAACAGTAACTGGTCCCACAGTTTTATGTGCTCCAATTGGAATATTTAAATCCCTAAACACATTTAGGAAATTGTTCATAGTTTCTGTAGCCTTCGCATATGCTGGTTCTATTACAAGGAAATCATCTAGTAGATGTTGGATATGCCTTACATTATATTTGTTTTGGGCGATCCAACAAACAGCACGAGAGAGATTATCAAAAAGTTTCGGGCTTGAGCGACTCCCAAAAACCAAACGAGTGAAAAAATAATATTTCCCATCCCATTTTATACCATGGTATGGCCACAGTTCTGGTTTAATTGGTAGTAACTTGAACGCATCTGTTATGTCTGTTTTCATAAGCCAGGCGTTGTGCCCTAACCTTTTAATAAGCGAAATGGCGTCATCAATCGTAGTATACTTCAAAGAACAGGTGATTTTATCAATTAAACTGTTAAGGCTAGGATTGTCCACATCTTGATGGGGTGCTGACATGTCAACTATAAGTCGTTTCTTTTTTGAATATTTATGTTCTGCCAGGCCAATAGGGTTGATACGGAAACTATCATAAGGGATCTTTTCGAAAGGACCTAACAGGTACTCGCTGTCTAATTCCTTATTTACCAACTCTGTCACACTCTCACGATCGGCCATAGCTGACTTGAGGTTTTTACACTCGAAGGAGTTATCAGGTAAGGACTGAAATCCTGTGTCGAAACCAAAGGATAAACCATCGAGCAGAAATTCCACAAATCTTTTGTCTGGGTGATAGTCCAATGCTGATTTTAAAGCTGTGATGTTTATGGGTGTGGTCGCTCTAGGGTACTCCAGGAATGTCATCTTTTCCTGTTTTGGGTCCGGGTTATGTCTAAAGGGCACGCAGATTTAGGGTGATTTCCCTTGCACGCCAAGCACACATGTGTGTAGCTGCATGAAGGCATATTGCATCCCAATTGACTATTAAAATTGTTGCAAATTTCTCGATTTTCATGGTAAACACGTGAACGGCCATGACCATCTACAGAAGAGGAACTAGAACTCCTATTAGCTCCAAACCTTGAGATTTTTCCACTGAGGGCCCCTTGGCGCTTAGGGTCAAACACAGAAGTGGGACAGAAACCTGTTACATGTAAAGGGCTGTCACACAAGTTACACGTGAGAGGCTGTTGGTTTGTAAAAATGTTGCAAAAGAGAACATTGTCTCTGATGGACCAGTCTATTGGTGTGTTGTTATAGCGGAGTTGTGCCGCTGCCCTGGCCGAAAATTGTCGATGGTATGCGTAGAAACCAACAGCATATCTTGAGCCCATATCCACAATGTCTCTCTCATAGAGATCGAGCTCAACACGTCTAGCCGGGTAAACAGAGCACATTACTTGTTTGTACACACCAAAAGCCAAAATAAATTCATTCAAAGTCAAATTCCTGGAAAGTCTCGCATCAGGCTTGTCAGATGTATGACCATTTGGGTCACTGCTACCGACGAAGTAGGGTATCAAGAGTGCTGCGAGATTTACGTCCCTACCCGTAATGATTTGCTGACGTAGAGCGGGCGATATCGTTTCTACTAAAGGTAAATGCTCTGAAGCGTAACCAAATCTGGTCCTCTTGCACATCTCACCTTGTTGTTGCGTGGATTCGTCCTCGAAACGCCTGTAAGCCGTGTCCAAGGTGTATTCCTGTTGTGGTTGAGACGAAGTTATGGGCACCTGTGTCATTGATGTGGCTATCTGTTGCGGTGGAGACGAAATTGGGGGCACCTGTGTCACCGTCACTGATGTGGCTATCTGTCTCTCGCTACCGGCGGCAGCTGCCACTTGAAGCCTGGATTGGGAGTCTATTTTATTTTCCAGGCGCTGGTAGCACTCCTGTAATGTAGCTACACTTTCTGACAAGCTCGTAACCAAGTTCACCAAATGGTTATTACTACTTGACAACCCGGTTTCATGTTGAGATGCTGTGTTTACGGACTCACGTGAAGCATCCGGTCCTCCATCTTGCCGCGATGCATTGTGGTATACCGCACGTCTCGCGCTCCTGTGTAGTCCGACGGGGGTAGAAGTTCTCGCTTCCCGTAACTTCTTTACCAAACCCATACGCTTCGATCCAGGCCTAAAAGGAACGTTGAGAGAACGTAATTCTTCTTGGAGCCTAGCAATTGTCCAATTCTCTAGTAGTTCAGGGTCGTACGGTACAGGCCTCGTACTCCTGCGTTTTGGCCCCATAGTAATAAACGTCTACGATGATTTTACAAAGTAAACAGTTAATTCAGCATCAAGTTAATCACAAGGCACAGCGTTCACATCGTCGGTAGCTTAGTGTAGGGCTATACGAAGCACTCAGGCGTGGTATAAAGGAAACACGTCACATAAACAGTTGCAGGGAGGCTAGTACGAACAGAAACACTTGAGAAATCATGTTACAAATTACGTTCCAAGATGGCGATTCCTTCCAACTCCTCGGGAGGAACTTGGAAAAGTCAAAAGCGGTTACGGTAACCAAAATAGGGTGTCCTTTTTTGCCAAATATCGTTACAAACTACATCACGCAGGTAGTCCAAAGTTGTTCATCAGTTTTTCAAGGAATATTAGACTTGAAAAGCCTAGAAATT